AGCCCTGACTTACTTCTAAACCCATTTCCTCCTCCTCCTTCTCTTATTCTTCCTTTTCATCTTTTTCACCACCATGATTGACAGGAAATCTGTTCCCTACCTTCATTTTTAAGCTGTTCTCATGAGTTATTGTTCTGTATTAAAATATAGACATATAAATGTAGGGAGAAGCCACACTTTCAAAGGTAGGGAGTGTGGAATTTTGAAGGTAAAAATTGCTTCTAGTGAAAATCACCCAGAAAAAGAATCTTTAGAAAAGGGGGTGATGGGAAGGAAGATTCCAAGGAGTGAAAGATGTATCACCCTTTCTTGATCCAGACTTAAGATGTTTTAGGTCTTCCAAGAAATTTTCCATCTCATCTAAGTTGTGAAATTTATTGGCATAGTATTTTCTTATAATCCTTTTAATATCTGCGAGGTCACCACTCTCATTCCTGGTATTGATAATTTGTGTCTTTTCTGTTCAGTTTGCCAGGAGGCTTATCAATCTTAATGCTTTTCTTAATGAAATAGATTTTGGTTTCATTGATTTTCATTATTGTTTTCCTTTTTCTGTTTTGTTGATTTTCCCTCTTATTATTTTCTTTCTTCTGCTTATATTGGTTTTAATTTTCTCTTCTTTTTCTAGGTTCTTAAGGTGGAAGCTGAGGTTACTGGGGTCTTTTTTCTTATACGGGTCCTGTAGTGCTATACATTTCCTTCTAACTACTTGCATCTCACAAATTCGATATGTTTCATTTTCATTCAGTTCAAAATAATTAGTGATTCCGCTTTTCATTTTTGCTTTGACCTGTAGTTATTGTAGATTCTGATTCAGGAGGCCTGGCATAGAGGCTTAGCAAGCTATAAATTTAAAAAGCCTCCATAAATAATTCTGATAGTTAGCAAGGTTTGGGAGCCATTTGGATGTCTTCAAGGGAATTCAGGCTCAGAGTGTCCATAATCAAGCTCATGATATTCTTTACCCAACTAAATTTCTCTATTCATGTTTCATATTTCAGTTAATGATACCACCATTTACCCTGAAGTGTCCCAAACTAGCAGTCATCCTTGGTCTTTCCTTTTTCTTTTCTTAGCCTTCATATTTGATCCAAAATCAAGTTATGTAATTTCATAAGTTTAAACCCATCTCTTTCTCTTTATTTCCACACACCTCGTCCAAGTTTCCACAAAATCTCAACTATTTCAGTGGCCTTCTAACTGATAAATTTGCATGCCTGTTAGCTTTAATTTAATCTGTTCTCTACAACACAATATAAAATGCTGTTTTAAAAATAAATGTGATTGTGTCAAAACAACCCTCATCCATGATTAACACATTAATTATTTTCCATATTTCTCATTGGTTCTCATTTATGTTTTCATACTTGTCTTGAACCATAGGTTCTTTGCTCTTTGACTTCCAGTCACACCACTTTTCATTCCATTCCTTTACTGTACCATGCTTCCCCTTCTACAAGCTCTTTGGAGACAAGGCTTTCTTTGCCTAATATACCTTTCCCTAAACACTCTCCTTTTTCTTAATTTCTCTTCAAAATTTGGACATCCTCATAATTATCATTTTTTGAGAAAAGCCATTCCTAATCCTTTGAACAGGTCAGATACTCTGATTGTGTACTTTCATAGAAACATCCATTAATTAATCCATTTATTTAGTCACTGTGGTAGGCAGAATTCTAAACACCCCATGGAAATATCCTGTTCTAGTTCCCCAAACCTTTGAATATGTGAAATATCACTTATGGGATTGTGTTATATGGCATAGCTGACCTTAAGATAGGTGGGCTTGAGCCCATATGAGTCCTTAGAAGAAGAGACATTTCTGCAACTAGCTGGTGACAGAAGAGGTCAGACATATTCAAAGCATGAGAAGGATGTGATGCATTGTTGCTGTCTTGGTGATGAAAGGGGTCATGTGAGCAGCTTTAAGGAGCTGAGGAAGGCCAATAGACAACAGTTGCACAACCTCAAGGACCTGGCTTCTGCCAACAGCCCAAATGAATATGGAAACAGATTCTTCTCCAGGGCTTCAAGATAAGAACCCAAGTGGCTAACACCTTCATTTTGGCTTTATGAGACCCCCATTTAGAGAACTTCACAAAGCCCATCCATATCTCTGACCTGCAGAATGTTAAGTAATAAATGGATGTTGTTTTAAGATGCTAATTTTTTAAATACTTTTTTGCAGTAATGGAAAACTAATACAGTCATTGAATACATTTTTAGTGCTATTAACATTAAGTGCTATTAAAATGAGTGCAAACCTTGCCTTGAGAATACAATGCAGAACAAAGGTGGCTCAGACTCTTCTTTCATTGAACTTATAGTCTACTAGGGGAGGAGGAGCCTAAATGTCCTTAATGTCATTGCAAATTTGCATTTATTTGGGTACATATTTAGTCTAGTTCCAAAAACCTTTGAATATGGTAAAATGCCACTCCTATGATTGTGTTATGTTAGATGGCACAGTTGAGTTTAAGATAGGGAATTTATATCCAGATGAGCTTGAGATAATTACAAGAGCCTTTAAAAGAAGAGACATTTCTGTGGCTGGTGACAGAAGAAGTCAGATATTTAATTGATGTGTATTCCTTCCATAAAAAAAAAAAAATAAAACCAGCATATTGGACCTACCTGGGTGCCATAGAGCAAAAAAAAAAAAACACAAAAAGCAAAAACCAAAAAACCCCACAACATTATATTGTGCATTTTCAGAGGTTGTTTCATTTGAATTAGAATTTTAGGTAGTTATTTACTTGTGTCAATTTGGAGATTTTGATTTTAAAGTTTTACTATCCTCTGGCTTCTGTTGTTGCTGATGAGAATTCTGATGTTAATAATTTTCTGTATTTTGTAGATGATGCATCTTTTCTTTCTGAAAATTCAATGAAATTCTATAATAAAATATAAAAAAAAAATCAAGTTTGATTTTGGTACCTTTGTATTCTCATTACCTAGCAGAGTTCCTGGCACATAGGGGTCACTAAAAAAAAAAAAAACTTTTTGTTAAAACGTAAAAGGTAAAATGCTCCCAAGTTAGATAGCTGATTAGTATAGACACAGGTTTGACAGATTTTGAGTAAGGTTTGTTTCCTGACTCTAAATTTTGTGTTCTTAACCACTATAACACATGAGTCTACTTACCCAGTGCAGACACCATATACTAAGATCTTGTAATATTGAACCTCATACTTTTGGGAGAAATAGGGGGTGGTTAAGAAGAAAGACACACATCCCCTTTCAGCTTCACTTTGTAAGGTACACTTGAGGTGTGCAAGGATGGCTCAGTCAGTTCAGTGTCTCACTTGTGATTTTAGCTCAGGTCATGATCTCAGGTCCTGGGGTCAAGCCCCTCATTGGGCTCCGTGCTCAGTGGGGAGTCTGCTTGGATTCTCTCCATCTCCCTGTCTCTCTGCCCCTCCTTCACTCATGTGTGTTCTCTCTCTAAAATAGATAAATCTTAAAAAAAAAAAAAGATAAATCTTGAAAAAAAAGAAGGTATACTCAAACAGAAATATATTAACAAATCTTAGTAATGTAATTTTTTTTTCCTACAAAAAGTCTTTATGGAGCCAAAGTATTTCACTGAGGTGTGAAGGGCATAAATTCTGGGAAAATGGCCTGGGAGATCCTGTATGGTGAAAAAGTAGGAAAGCCTCACTAGGTGAGGGACTTTAGTTCAATCAGTTGGTTTGCACTTCTCATATCTCCAGGTCAGCTATCCAAGCTCAACTGGAAACCTTTCCACAGACTTTGCAATTATTTTTATGTATTCTTTTCTCTGAAAGACCAGAGTAAACATTTCCAAATTATCTCTTAATTAATTAATCTATTGCCCTTTTCCCCATTCAAATTCATATATACATTCAAAAGAATTATTAAGCAGCTATTATTCCACAGACACCACTAGAAACTGAGTATATTTTGGCACCCTTGCTTGGGGTTTACAGTCTAGTCGAGGGACAGACTATTGCATATGTACATATATTGCATAGGAAACAAGCACAGTCCAGTGAATAATGTAGAAAAGAAAATTGGACAGGATTTTCTGAGAAATTAACTTCTACTTGACTAATGAGAAGCGAAGGTAGAAATGATACATAGATAAGGGGATGGGGGGAGATGAGAACATTACAGGCAGAGTAAATGGTGTCTGAGAAGACCCTGAGACCAGATAAGAGCTTAAGCTGATAGTCTTTTTGGCTCCAGTCTTGCTTATATGTCAACACACTTCTAACCTGCAATTCATACTCCTCACTTATTTTATAGTAAAAAATATTTAATAAATGATTCATACGTTTTTGGACAAACCAATCTACTCAGTATAGTATGTGTAGTTCTGTACAATTGTGTACAATTTGTACAACCTTTCTGGCTTCATCCTGTACCACTCCCTCTTCAAACTCTATGCCACAGTCACACTTGTATAGATATAACAAGTGGTAGAGGGGTAAAGAAGTTCAGGAATGCTTTTCTTTCCACAAAACATTTACTTCTTCGAAACATGGAGTCTTTTTTTTTCATGTTTCTCTTTCTTCCAAGTTTTTTCTCTTTTTCACTGAATTCCTACTTTGCCTAGAAAAACCCTATACATTTTTCAAGATGAAATTAAAATCATTCTCTCCTTTGTTGAGGTTTGTCTGATCTTCCCAGGCAAATTCTGGCAACTACTAATTTGCAGTTCCTCTAGTAATCTCTTGCACAGAACTTTATTATGGTACTTGTATTCTGGTTCTGTATTTACCTGCCTTTGTCCTGATACAAGATTGTGTTTGTGGAGAGAAAGAATCATGTTTAATATATTTTTCAGTCTTTAATCCTCAGCACTGTTTCCAGTACAAAGTAAATGGTGACTGTAAATTTGCAACATGAATAATCCTGATGGTCTTCCCACTAGCCTTGGCTAGGAGTTTTCAGTGCTTGCTGAGGGTAGCAGTTTCCTGTAAGGAACAGGAAGTTTCTTTTATGGTACCCAGACCCTGTTATATTTCATAGTTTCATCAGCCTTGGTCTTTCCTCTTTAGCATCCTAATCATGGCCTCCCTGATGGGCTTGGATTTCACACTATAGATGACGGGGTTGAGCACAGGGGGCACCACCAGGTATGTATAGGCAACCAGGGCATGTACAATGGGGGGTAGGTGCCTCCCCAAACGGTGTATCATGGACATGGTAATGCCTGGGATGAAGAAGACAAAGACAGCCAGGATACGGGAGACACATGTGTTGAAGGCTCGGATGCGTTCCCTGGGAGATGCCAGTCCTAGCACTGTGTGTAGGATGAGAGCGTAGGAGAGGACGATGAGCAGACAATCTGTGCCACCAGTGGACAGTACCACATAGAACCCATAGAGGATGTTTATGGTGATGTCAGCACAGGCTCTTCTCATCACATCAGGATGGAAACAGAATGAGTGGGACTAGAGGATCTTGTTAGGGCAGAAGTTCAGACATTTAAGCAGGAAGGGCACCAGGAAGAGAGAAAGGGTAGCATGGGCCACAATGGCCAGTCCAATCCTAATGATGACATTATTGGTGAGGATAGCCGCATAGTGAAGAGGATTGGAGATGGCCATAAAGTGGTCAAATGACATGGCCAGGAGCACCGACGACTCCACCACAGAGAAGGAGTGGAGGAAGAACATCTGGACCAGGCAGGCATTGAAACCTATGAGCCGATGGTCAAACCAGAGCACAGCCAGGGTGGTGGGCAGTGTGGACAGAGTGAGGCCCACATCGGTGAGGGCCAGCATGGACAGAAAGTAGTACATGGGTTGGTGCAGGCTGGAAGTTCTCCCCGCAGCCAAGAGGATCAGGCAGTTTCCAGTGAGGGCCACAGTGTACATGGAGGAGAAGGGGATGGAGATCCATCCATGAACAGCCTCCAGCCCTGGGATGCCAATCATCAGGAAGGCATGTGGCTGGAAGAAGGAGATGTTGACATAGGACTGGGAAGGGAGCATCTTTGGAAAGTAGTTGAGGTTTCCAGAAAGATGTGACCTCTTTAGTCTGGGCAGACAGAAAGATAATGACAGGACACTTGTTATTAGGAAGTCATTTAGTTATGCTGTGCAGGTTTTTCATTAATTATTTCCCATCTTCTCAGCTCTTTGTATTATTAACTGTTCCAGGAGTGTACATACATTAGGTAATATGTCCTCAAACAAATGTAGAATGGAGGGGATAGTTTAACTTCCTCATGATTACCAGAAAATAAATGACTGAAATGGAATTAGAATTTAGTTATTTCTAAATATAAATTCTATACTGTTTCCACCTTAGCAAGCAGTGTCTTCATTAAATGAAGGGATGTTTGTTAATACTCTTTAATATGTAAAGCACTCTCTAAATGCTCATCATCATCGTTGTCATCTGTGTCCTGGTCATTACTGTTTTCCATTTATTTTGCATTTGGCAGTATTCTAAGTGCCTTCACATAATTATCTCATTGTTGTCTCATAATTACCTTGCTGATAGAGAAGGGAAATATTTTAGCTAAAATGAAAGAAGAGAAATTCTGAAGTCCATCTAAAGAAGAGAATACTGCAGCTTTCCCCTGAGTCAGTTATTAGAACTTAAGATCTTTTTTTGTTTGGAGGGTTTGATTATAGATCCTAGGACATTCTCTTTTAATTATGTCCCAGTAATTATAAAGTCCCAGGCTGAAAATGAACATAAGTACTAGGAAAGTATTGGTAAATGAAGAGATACTTGATTCTCCCCAGGTCACTGAGAACACTTAAATATTTGTGGTTCACCTATGACTTGCCCAGAAAATATCAGCCTGGGTCATTGGATGTCCTTGTAATCCAGGCTATACATTGCTTTTCAGGAATCATCCCCTCATTCCGTTCATTCAACATTCCCCCAAATCTTTAAAAATCCAGCCAAACATTTTGTTTAGCCCTCAGCACACCCAACTTGAGGTCTTGATTTGTCCTTGAGTGTGCCTCCCTGTAAATCAGTCAGCACAGACACCTGACTTAGCTGGGAGGGCCATACCTACAGGGAATATGGACCCTGAGATGCTTTTCCAAGAGTTCGAATTTCTACAGACACCAACTGAAAACATGAATCAAAGACATAAATTTAGTCTCCCTTAGTGTTTAGTGGGATCTGTCCTATTAATGTCACTAATTTTAGTATCTGATACTGGGCAAATAAATTTACCAATTTATCAATTATTCAATATCTCTTATGTTTCAGATATTAGACCCCTCATTTATTGTTTGTAAATAATATCTCTTGGTCTCAAAAGAATCATATAAGTTTGGTGCCCCTGGGTGTCACAGTTGGTTGAGTGTCTGACTCTTGGTTTCGGCTCAGGTCATGATCTCAGGGTCATGGGATTGGGCCCTGCATGGGGCTCCATGCTCAGTGCAGTGTCTGCTTGAGATTCTTTCTCCCTTTGCCCCTCTCGCTCATGCTCTCTGTCCCTCTAAAATAAATAAATAAAATCTGAAAAAAAAAAGAACCGTGTAAGTTAAGTATTATTGTATATTTTAAATAAATAATATAATAAACAATAACAATGATAATGTTAAAAAAATAAAACTGGAGGAGAGAGGCTTAGTGGGTTCCTATAGGCCATTCTGGAAATGAGTTCAAAGTCAGGTCTAATTGGCTTAAACACTTTCAATGGTTTTACATTGTGTATATTGGCCATGAGCTGTCCTACATGCTGGAGGTTTGTAAAGTGGGGGGTTAGTTGGATCAGATTATCTGGAAGAGCTTGTTCTCTCTTGTTCCATGGTTACATAATTTGGAGCTGTGCAAATAAAGCCCCTTCCTATTTCTCACAAAATTGTCCTTTTACTGCTCATTGTGACCTTTTGTGTCCTTATAAAGCCATTTGCCTTTTATTGTGCTAATTATTTTCTCATTCCTGCTTTTCTTTTTACTAATCACATTTCTTAAAAAAATCTCATTCAATCTCTTTGTTCTGATTTTGATGATTTCAAGGTTTCTGTCCTCTTTTTAAATTTTATTTTTAAATTTTTTCGTGGACAATGAATGAACAAGAAAATGAATAACTGAATGAATGTTCCTTAATTTTATAATCCAGCTCCCCTCTACCCCAACTCTTAATACAGCACCTCCTAGGTGCATATATTCACAATTTATACTGTATAGTTTATATATAGTAAAGACCCATGACTCCTTTAGATTAATGCAGTTAATATCTACTTTTATCCTACTATTTTAAGATCAATCCAGAAACTACTCTTTGTCATTGGTAACTTAAATCAGAGTAGAAGATGAATTCTGTGCTCTCCCTTTAATTTGTAGGAATCTGAGGATTAATTTTACCTTTAATATTACCGTTTATGGGATTAATATCACTGTTCTCTCTGTTTCATCCTGCACTGATTTATCTAATACTGAGTAATTGGCAAATCCTCCATCTTATTGTAGAAATTGCCCTTGTCCCCTTGTTGATATGTAGGTCCTATGAAACTCTGGGGATTTGTGTGATCTATTGCTCTTGCTGTGGTGGAAATATCCAAATGCTAAATTAAACTGAATATTACAAGAAGCCTGGAGCTCACAAGGGAAAATTGTAGGGTACCATTTAAGACAAGTTGCCAAAATTTAAGGACAACTCTTATACAGTCAAGCCAATTTCTCACTTGTATCCAGATAATGGCCTTTCTATTCCTTTTTACATTTTGTGAATATTATAGTTTTGTGAAGAGTCTGACATTGGGAAGGGATTCTGCTGTGTGGTGAAAGGACAGATTTTTTTTCTGCCCATTTTAGTAGCCAAGTTGGATTGACAAGTTTCTGGTTCCCATATTAAGTTGCTTAAACCTGGAAATCAGAGAGGGTTTGGTCTTCTGTTATTATTTCTAGGATACTAAAGGATCTAAGATATTACAAATTATAGCTTTCCTCTGAGGAACTAAATAATTTCTGTTTAAGCAGTGTAGGATTCTGGGAACTTGTTACTGGGTGTGTCTAGGGAAAGTTAAATTGCCTAGAAACAAAGGGCTGAATCCAGCATGCTTTCTTAACCCCAAAGCCAAGTGCATTTCTTTTTTTTCTTCCTTTTTCCCACAAAAAAATGATAATTATGTGATGTGATGGAGGTGCTATCTAACGGTATGGTGTAATCATTTTGCAATACATACGCCAAAAGCTTTTCTAAAAGACTCTTACTCAGAAGATTATGAAGGACAATCTCATAATGAGAGTCGAGACACCAAGCAAACATTCAGATCACCTGCAGGATGCTTGCTGGGTTGGGATTTTTAAGATATCCTTATACTGTTGCCCTACTGAGAGAGGCAAAAGAGTATTAATCTGCTTGGACACAGAGTCTGGGTTTCCGAATAATTACCTGAATCAGGAAATTTTCTGTGCTTTAGGAAAGTAGCCACCTTCATTTCCTCTGCCTTATCTAGGGGCATAGACCTGCTGTCTCTGGAAGTCCAGGCCTCCTTACTTTTCTTCCTGCTTCTAACATCTGCTCACCCGCATCCCATTGGCTCCTCCTCTTGGCAGCAGCTGAAGAAAGGGGATCTCAGACTCACTAACCAGACCCGCATCCTTCTAAATAGTGTAGAAGAGATTGTATCTGGGCCCCAAGGTACTCACCTTGCTTGTCATAGCCTTCTCTACCTCTCCACATCCTGAAGGAGCCCAGGAAGAACTCTGCAACTAAGATACTACTTTCATACCACTGGCTGGATGCCTTAATGAGTTGCTATTCCCCAGGGATGTCGAAGCCATGGCCACAGAGGATAGTATGTGCTTGCTTTTTCCTGGGCAATGGAAAATGTGTGGGATGTGTGTGTTGGCATAGAGAGTTATAAGGCAAATGAGATATTTGAGCAACTGAATTGTGGAGGAGAGGCCTAGAATCATGATCATCTCTAGGTTTATCCGTTCTACCATATCTGTAGGAAATTTTATTGGGGATTTCAATTTTTTCCGTTACTGTGCTCTTTAGTGATATCAGATCAGGCTTCTGGAGTCACACAGAACACTTTCTGGCCCCTCCAAGTAGTACATTTCAGAGACTCAGGGTTCATTGTATCTCTCTCCACTCTCTCCGTGGCCCCTAGGGTTGTTAATGCAGGTTAAGCACCCCCATTTCTTGTGTCTATTCTTTATGTGACATCATTGTGAAAGCCCCATTCTGTTGCACAGCAAATATGTATCAACTAACCTGAAAAGATAGATGGGGAATAAAGGGTCTCAAGACAGATAGAGATGAATGGAGGCACACATCTTTACTGGGAACTTCCATATCTCTGTTTTTATGTTTTTAGAGATACTGAGTGTCTTCCAACCTAGGAAGTTTTCCTTGCTATCTTATTCCATCCCCAGGAGTTTCTTTTTTTTCTAATAGAGTGAAATAAATTGAAAACATGTTGAGGCCACGGGTCTGAAATGCAAAAGTACCTGTGTGTGTGTGTTTGTGTATGTGCATAGCAGCTTTATTGAGATATAATTGATGTGCAAAAAACTGCACTTATTTAATATATACAGTTTAGTGAATTTGAACATATGCATACATTCATGAATTTATCATCACAATCAAGGTAATAGACATATCCATCAACTCCAAAAGTTTTCTTGTTGTAATGGCAGGATTTTCTTTATTTTTTTTTAAGGCTGAATAATATTCTATAGTATGTATATACCACATTTTCTTTATCTGTTCATCTTTTTTTTTTTTAAAGTTTTATTTATTTATTTGACAGAGAGAGACACAGCAAGAGAGGGAATATAAGCAGGGGGAGTGGGAGAGGGAGAAGCAGGCTTCCCGCCGAGCAGGGAGCCCGATGCGGGGCTCCATCCCGGGACCCTGGGATCATGACCTGAGCCGAAGGCAGACGCTTAACGACTGAGCCACCCAGGCGCCCCGTATCCGTTCATCTTTTGATAGACATTTGGATTGTTGAATCTTGGCTATTATGAATAATGCTGCAATGAAAATGGGAGCACTAGATATGTA